CCCCAAAACCCCAAAACCCCAAAACCCCAAAACCCCTGGAATAATCATTTAGATTGATTATATATAAAATGGAAGAATTTTTGGATAAAATACATAAGTAAGTTCAACTTATGATTTTAGGAGAAATTGTTCTTGTGGAGGGGAAGTGCTTGGATTTTGAGTGACTCATAAAGTTCTGATTTGTGCAAATAATAAAATTTGCCATGATGAATCATGTGAATTTGCATCAACTAAAAGTTTAAATGAAATTGAAGAATATATGAACCATATTGAAGAAAAACTGAACCAATTAAAGAGTGATTTTGAAAATGGAAAAATTGAACTAAATGAACAAAAGAAAGATAATTTACCTGAAGAACAGAAATAAAATAGCTGAGACCGCTATAGAAACCAATAACACAGAAGAACAGCAACAACAAGATTTGATCAAGGAATGAGATTCCAATCTAAAACAAATTCGTAAGTCAAAATATTGCTGTTTCGAAGGATTTTGAAAACCCTTACTTTGGAATAGAAAATAATATCAGAGAAGCACATGAGAACGAGGATTATATCTCTCTTTATCATGCTAAGAAAGAGTTATGGGCTTGTCATGGAGTTGGTGGATAATACCTTTTTAGTATTATTTGAGCGAAGATTTAAAAAAATTATAGAGAAATTAAACAATTGATCCGATATTATTAATTTCTAACATATGTGCATTAAACTACTGGTTCTGCCAAGTACTTTCATAACAATTTCTGACCTTTAAAAATTAGAAAGATGTTTGGAAGATAGAGCTTACTATTTAAAGTTAATTTTAGGAATGACCAACAATAGTAATACCGCTAGTGATTCAGACGCTGGTGGGTCTTGTGACTGTTGGGCTCTGGCTGAGTTGTAGGGATGAGATACGGTGGAGATAAGAGAGGGGGATTGGGGAGGAATGATAATGTGTGGGTTGTAAAATTTGTAAAGAAGGGTTGGATTTGGGTGGATTGGGAGGTTGTAGGGGTTAAGGTGCTTGTTTTTGAGGTTGATGGGGTATTTTAGTTGGAAATTTTGGTTATTTGAAAGATTATTGGGAATTTTGATTTATATCAAAAAGTAAGAGAGGTTTTATCGTATAGATGGCAGCATTTTGAGTTAATTAGATATGCTTAGTTAGAAGTTAAAAATGGAAATGCTGCTTACTTTGTTCCAATCAAGTTTCAGAGTTAATTTAAGAATTTCTTCATTAAAATCGCTTTTTATTCACGAATCCATTCATTTTCAACATATTCCTCATTAACGGGGTTTTGGGGTTTTGGGGTTTTGGGGTTTTGGGG